CCTGCTGCCAAAATTGCATCTATAGAGAGTGGTTGCCCGTTTTAGCTGCGAAACATACAGTGAAAACTTCTCTAGTCCCCTCTTCCTCAAGAAGGTCACCAACAAGCAGTTGTGGTGCTTTTGCTGGGGTGCTACATTGCTGAGGCCAGCTCCAGGTGTGGGGGCACCTGCACTATTCTGCTTCCAAACATACTCTCAGGCTGAAATCCAGCCTCTGCTACATCAAGGGCATTGATGCCTTGTTCATTATTATGGCCACACCAAATGTGAGCTTTTAAGAATAAATCTTGGTAGACATTCCCATATCCCACACTTCCCAGAGCTACCACAAAGATTTCCCCTTCCTGAAGAACTCATTTCATCACCACTCTAAAAACACTCTCTGAAATAATGCCAATTTTAAGTAGAAAAAACCCAAAACACCTTGAAACCAAGAAGGAAAAAAAAAATATCTCAATATATCATGGAGTGGGTTTTTTTCCCCCCAAACTATAATTTCCCAAAATACTGGCTGGTAATATAAGTCTTTTCCAGTTGTGAGTTGTATTCTCAGAGTAGCTTGGTATGAGCAGAATAAGTCCGCTTAACACCAGCTGAAAATATGATTCCCTGAGCTGTAGCAGTGTGACTGGGTGCTGTTTTCTAATCAAATCACCACTGTGAAATACCTGATTCACTTTGCACCCAACAGCTGTAGTTACAGTCTGTGTTCCCAGTCACAGTCTGAAAACAAGCACAATAAGAAAGGCTGAAACAGCTGCAACTTCTCAGCAGAAAAAAAAAGAGAAGGGGGAAAAAAAAGTTTGTTGTCAGGCTCCAGCTTAGGAAGGAAGTAAAACCATTTTTCTTTTCTGTCTCATGCATGTCAGCTGTCTTAGAAAAATTATTACTGGTCTGTTTGGTAACAGAAACTCCACAATATTTAGTAAAGTACAAACTCCAATCTATTCATGGCCAAATACAGATCTGACATTTCTGAGGCAGCCAAAACACGCTCAGTATGTGAATGGGCTGCAGTACTTTTCAGGAGAGATCTGGAATTCACCTCATGGCCCTAATTATCCTCCTTAGAAGAACACATGCATCTTCTGTATTTGGACCATCCAGATTGATTTTATTTTAGTTCCAGATTTTGGCTGAAAAAAAAGAAACATTTAGTGAAGGAGGCTATATTTATTTTCCAGTATTAGTGCTTTCCAAAGCTGTTCAAGTGAATAATTCTATTTTGTCAAACTAAATGCAGAAAACAACAGGTGAGTATTCCTTGGTTGGATAAAACATACCTACTTTTGCATTCTGATTATTATCTGTTTATTTAGGAAGCTTTTTTAAAATAAGTAAAATGTGGGCTGTGTTCTGAGTTGGGTTATTGGTAATGCTGTAAGCTTTGGGGGAATCACTTGTAAAGTTAGGAACTATTCATTGTGATAAATCCCTAAATACATCAAAACCCCAGAATCTGGTAGCCATCACCTACAGAAGGAAAAACATTCATGTTAAATCTGTTGAATTTTGCAGCAATGCTGTGCTATAGCCACGAAGTAAAGAGATAAAAATACATGGAGACAGAAGTAGAGTTGGAGACAAGAGGAATGCAGGAAGGTAGAAAGTGATGAGTAAAAGAAAAGCAAAAGGAGATGGAAAGATGACAGGAAAGTGGAAAGAAAAAAAAGACAGACTCAAGTAGTTGGCTGCTGATCAAGTATAAACAAGTAAATGGGGGTATATGAGAAACATTTTCAAATACATTCTCTCAGGTTCAACAGCTTGCTGCTGCACCTACTGGTTTCCACAGTGCAGGCTTGGAGCTTCAACTCAGTTTAGATGACAAGATCACTGAGTTTCCAAGAGGTCCCCCCCGTCCCCCCTCCCCCCAATCTTTCGCAAGAACTAAAAGAAACCCTAAATTAATACAGCAAAAATGTGATTCAAATGTTCATTACTTTCACCAAACTGATGCATATATGGACACTTCAGGGTGCTGTTGTCAAAGGCAGAGATACTGTATTACTACTGCTTGTAATCTCATGGATGGTTGCTCGTACTGAAATTTATGTCAGAAACCAAATTGTCTATATATATAGTAAGGTTTGGTATTTCAAAGAAGATACAAGATGAACTGGGTGCACTTGAAGGGCTGAGCTGATTTTCTAAATATAGAAAGCTATACATGAATATTTTTTTTCTTTTTCTATTTAATAGTTAGCATGATAATATGTTCTCAAAATACCAACACAGTACAGCCAGTTTTAAAACAGGTTCCCTGATAGGTACAATTTTGTGACTAATTTTCTGTGAAAGCGTGCCTGTGTCTGAAATCAGCTTTGAATATCTACAAGTTACAAGGAGATTGCACAGGGAAATTCAATATTTGCTAATACAAAGACCTAAAAATAACAGTGCAAATGACTGTGCAAAAGAAGTGAAGAGCTGAGGATTCTTTGTGATATGTTCCAACAGATGTGTGAATGAAACAAAAAAGAACATTACATTTCTTTGCTAAAAATGTGTGGAAGTCTTTGGGGATATCCTTTTGATGAATTAAGCCATTGTTAGATTATCCTGATTTTTTTACCCATTTTACTTCAGTAATGGTCATATAATAGCTTAATTTTTAATGATCTAAATCTCATTGCCGTTAATAGCTATATTTCCATAGAAACACTACAAATCTACTTTAGTTGGGCATTTCCTAATGAACATGTTTGAAAGCACATAGATCACTATTAGAGAAAAAAAAAAGTAAAAGAACACTAAAATCTGCAAAAATCCATGTCTTCTGTATCCTACAGATCTGGTATCCCTTCCAAAATCATTTAAAGACAAAACAAATACCGACCTTTTATTTGGAGGTAGTATCATTATAGGTAGTCAGTGTGCTTATTCTCCTGCTAGCTGCACCCAACCCTCAAGGAAAGAGCTCCTATTTAGTACAATATGAACCCAATGCTGACTTCCCCCTGTAGCTGAAGCCAGTCTGATTCAATGATGAGAATATTTCTGCTAATGGCCATGTGCAGTTTACACAATAGCCTTTTCTTTTGATCTGTAACTGAACCTGGAATGGGAAATGTATTCTGGAAATATTTAATTGTTCCTTGAGTTGGGCAAACATCTGAATGAAGTGTGTGCTGCAGGATTTGAATGAATAATTTAAAGAACATTATAAATAAAAATAATGCTCCCTTGTGCTTTCTACCAAACCTTCCTAAAAGCTTTGTGACAGCCCAGAAGTAATGCTGGGAGTAAGAGAGTAGTTGTTATTAATTGTACTTTGTAGATAAGGAAATTACTTCAGAAAGGTTAAACAAATTGCTCATTTCTCTGTGTGAATCAGTATCTGCTTCCAAGAACAGAGTGCAGTTTCGGCCCATGCTCAGGCTGTAGCTCTTAGCATTTGCCTCTCCTGCACAGAAGACAAACTGCAGCTTAAATTTACCAAGGTCAGAATGGGAAATTAAGGTAAAACTGGCAGGGTTGTCATTGAAAGTTTTGTTAAATTTTTTTTTGGGAGGGAAAAAGGAACATGATTTTCTCTACTTTTTCATCTGTCCTTTGTGGCAAATCGCTTTGCCTGTAGAAGCATTACAGAATGTGCATTATGCAGCGGGTTCTGTGTCCAGTCTGAGCAGAAGATTGTAGATACAGGATTCCCTTTATCCAGACAGGGTGCATATACTGAGAACAATATATAACCCTATGCACTGCATGTGGCAAGAAAAGGAGGGGAAGGGAGAGAAGAAAGGAAAGGTTTAGTTCCATTAAAGGCTACATGTGTCCAAGTATTTTCTAATGGAAGCTTATGGGAAATGGGAAAACTGGAATGACACAGCAACTGATGGTCTTCTCATTAACTTTGATGACTGTCTATAGCCTACAGAACAAGAAGGCCAGAAGGCTGTCAATACTTCAGGAAGTTTCCTAGAAGACAAATAGTACTGGCAAATTGAAATAACACAGGTGCAAGAAGGAGCCAGGCTGAGATGCACATCCAGGCTGGACTCTGGCAGCTGGAGAAGCCAAGCTCTCCAAGGAAGTTGCTACAGGATGATGGTTCTTGAAATAATTTGAGTGAACTCAAAGTATTTTGTATTTGTCTTCTGTGTTTGATTTTTACTGCCAAGATTTTAGAAGACTGCTGCTTGTATGCATTATATTTATTTAATTAGTCACCTACAAAGAAGTCATGTAGTATAATCTACCTGTCTAGATTAGTTATGTACTTAATGGAGGAAAAGAGACTGCTCAAGAGGGTGATTTATCACTTTTTTATGAAAAACTTGTTTTAGGACGGGAAGAACTGCAATTCAAAAAAACAGAGTGAGATAGGAGTGAGCAAGAGCCTGAAAAATCTAATACACATTCAGAGAAACTTGAAAGTAGGTGGAGAAGGATATAATCTCAATTCTACAGCTGTGAGTCATAGGCTATGGGTACACACTAGCAAGGGATTTGGTGCCAGAGGAGTGGATCAGTATACAATGAAAACTAATGCTGAGGCTCCTGCTTCTACATTATAAACTGTCTTGGCATTTTACATTGAATAGATTTAATCTGATCCTCTAGAGTATAGATACATACAAAGTGTATTTTTGAAGCTGTTTGAATAATTAGTCACTATTTTAGACCTTTCTGCCCCAGCTAGGCTTGAGGCATATTTGATGTCTATCCAAGACACTGCTTTCAGTTTAGTCTTCTTTAAAAGAACTCTTGTTTGTATAGACCAAAATTGTTCTGTTGAACTAAGACAGCTGGAGCTCATGGTAGAATTTGCTCCTCAACCACTGTTTCAAACCACAAACTCCAGGTAAACACTTAAAATACTGAATGCTCTATTAAGACACTTTATTTATATTCCATAAGTTGTATTTTATTTGGTAATTTCAATTTTCTAATGCCCTTTTAAACTGGGGTAATAATTCTCCTCCCTTTTCACCGTCCTGCTAAACGCTAGTATGGTTTTTATGGTGAAGTTACTGTGGTAATATGGTAATGTTTACCTGCATGAAGCGGCCCTCTGAAGTTCCCAGGTTAGCAATGGTAAGGTTCCCTTTGGTGAAGACAGATATGGAAGTCAGCAGGACACTGTTGAACTGGCCCATGAATAAGTCAACCCTCTGCAGAGGAGTCGTAACTTCTAAGCGATATTCATCATCTTGCGCTCTGCAGTACGAAGCATTTCTTGAAAAAGCCTGTTGGAAAATGAAGTACAGATGAGTACTGTCTTTATGAGTAGCAATAGATCTTTGTCAGAATGAAGTCATTTAGCACAAATGCATTCGACCAAAAGTATTTTAAGATGTTTCAAACTTAATTGCTTCATCAGTTATGATGTTCCATGAGGAAGGCAAAAACTTCTTAATGTTATGGGAATGTTTTTATTAACTTTTAAAATCATGTCTGCAGGAATAAGATATAGGGTCTTTAGTTAACTAGATGCACATATATCAAGGTATCCTTTCTCACAGTGACTTCCTTAATGCTGCTTCTCCAAAAGTCAGAATTCTTGGGCCTGCCCAGACACACCTACTTCTAAAACAGTTTCCTAAAAAAAAGATTGTCTAACAACAATGTGATTTTTTACATTAAAATAACAATTTCCAATATTCTTCTCCCTCTGTGTTCACCACCTTTGTCAGAGATAAGACACTAAAGTGGAGAAGAAGCCAGAGAAAGAAAAGGGAGATAAGTTAGGAAAAATAGGTTTCTGATTGTGTGTTTAAATGAACCTAAGGGGAAGACAGATTTTGATAATTACTCAGATTATTGTACATTATCTGTGGTTCATGCACTATTTAATCTGATCTCTAGATGTCTTGAGTGTACTAAAATAATAGCTGCATTTTCAGCATTTTCTATTTCATTTTGGGAATAGAGATTGCATGTTTTTAATTTTCACTGAAAAAAGTCTTGAACAATACACTTTAAGTTATCTCTGAAGAAGAATATAACCTCCTAACAATTCAATAGTAATCTATTACTAATAGATTTGAATTATATTAGATTATCAATAATAATTTCATTATTATTGATATTACATAATCTGTTTTGGGGACATTGCATAAAGATAATAACCAGGAATCCCTTAAATTATCTTTAACCAGTTTAAATTTAGAAGTCATGTAGCATGTTCCCACTGTGACCTACTTTATGAATAAAGATTTAGGAAGATTCTAAAGGATCTTACAGTGGTTTCCTCAGTTGAAATCAAGAGTGAGCTTAATTTCTCCTATTTTTTTATCGATCTGTTTTTTGTCGCAAAATGCATTTTAAAAACATGTTTTAAAAAATCTTTAAAGAAGCTTGAATGAAACCTTTTCAAGACAGTCTTGTTACTAAGTCAAATAGATCTGCATCATACCCTTACAGAGCATGTAGGGGTAAAAATTTATCATCTTCTTTTCTAGATTCAGATGTCTTTCCTCAAAGTATGAAAAATAAAGCAATGAATGAAGAATTTCTTGTTGGCCTAACTCTGGTGAATTCTGGACTGAAACCCAAGGCATTGAAAATACTACCAAGAAAATGTTCAACCTAGTAGCTCAGCCCTTTGCTGTTGAATTGTGATGTTCTGAGCTGAGCCCAGCAACAGCACTGGCAGATGAGGTTTTCTGTGGTCCCCAGGAGTTGCAGTCAGCAATGGTGCCAGCTTTTCTGAGGGTGCCCTGTCAATTTACTGTAGCATTTAGGTGAAAGCCTGCAGCAGATCAAATGAGCAGCTGAAATCCCTGTGCAGTGCCTTAATGATACAGAACAAGGGCTTCTAAATTAGATGTGGTATAGCAGTGACTTAACAGTTTGGTTATCCACATACTAAAGGTTTTAATGTATTAGTTTTCTTATTAGCTGTTAATATACAGTGCATTTTCTTCAGCAGGAACTGAACTAATATTTTGAACTAGGAACACTGAAAACACTTTATTTTTTTTAACCCACTATTTGACTGGGTTAAATCTTCAATGGGCAAGTTTGGCTTTTCTTTGTTTTGGCCACCAAACAAGCACAAAGCTGTATTCTGTTGCACTCATATCCTACCCAGTGTAAAAGTATTTCTCAAACATCTGTGCAGATTACTCATACAATGAGTATGAATAGTTCAAGTGCAGAAAGATGTACAGTTTTCATGCTTTTTGAAATAAGGTAGATTTCTGATTTTGCCCTTCCCTCAACATGGGATCTTTGCTCTTTCCTGTAACTGCTTTTTTCCATAAGCAAAGACTTTGGAGAGAGATGTTTCTGTGCTAAGCTTAAAGTACTTCCTCCTACATAGTCATTTCAGCACAGTTCAAACATCCTAACATGCTGCCTCATGAAATCCTGCTCAAGCTCTTTGGAAAAAGTGGCTAGACTTTCCTGCTTACCCTAACACCTTTCTTAGCGTGTCCAAAGTCAGCTAGTCACAAAGTCAGCTCTGCCTTCCTCAGAGATGCCATAATTTTGTCTATCTGCTGAAGAACCTGTAGATTGTTACACATATGGTTCTTAAAAAAACCTGTCACTTCATGGATTAACCATAATGTAGGGTTGGCTGTTCAAGAAATAGGAAGGCTTTGATCTGTGAGTAGAAATGCAGAGATTAAAAGGCTACTTAGAAAACTAAAGGAAGATTGATAACAGGGAAAACTTTGTCAAACATGCTGCTTTAAATTAACACTTTAAAGTCTGGTTCTCTCTCTCCCTCCCTCTCTCCCTCCCAGTATACACATAACTATCCATTTGGCTGTCAATGTGGAAAAATAACTGATGTCAGATGATGCACTCTGCATATCATGCCAAGTTCCACTGAGAAATCACACAACTATTGAAATGGACGATTAGAGCACGGATAAGTGCCTGGGTTCAGCCACATTGCTTCTCCTGTAGGACAAGAGGTGCCAATTCTGCCTGTGATTCACAGAGAGGGCTTTGTTACTGTTAAGCTGGCACAGGTGTGCTGCTGGAATGCAGTGAGGTGTGAGCAAGCCCTGCCTTACAGCTGTGTCCAGGAGGCTAGAAGATAATTAATGTTATCTTATTTGTTCATACAGGAAGCTGCTGTGTTCTGGAATTTACCCTTGATTTGGTCCATGGAAGACAGAAATGCCAACAATGTCTCTAGACATTGCTGAGCTGAGCTATCAGGAGCTGTCACTGTTTTGCAGCTAACTGATGGTTTATATGCCATATTCAGTGAGCATAAAAATAAAATATTTCAGACAGAGTTGCATATTTGAAGCCAAAAGTGCAAGGTGGGGGAAGAATTCTTACAAAAACTTGTGAAAAACCTCAAAAAAAAATCTGGTTAGGTCGGCATCAGAAAAATGATCCAATAGTCTAGTCTGTGGTCTGAATACTATACCCAGGGAAAAAAAAATTCCAAATATATTTTTGTGAGCTTTTCTCTAATTTGCAGTGACTGCAAATTGGAGAAACATTCCTCCAGGCTCATTCTTCTAGAGCTGGTCAAAACCTGCTCTTAGTTAAGTGCAGTGCTCATATAGAAAGTGATATTATGTATAATGTCTTGATATTATGTTTAATGTCTTGACTAAACTGGAGATCAATGACTTAATCACTGCAGAACATTTCATACTGTCTTGTGAGCCACTTGGAGGACATCATTAAAATTAAAATTTAATTTGACAAATTGGAGAAATGGTCTGAAAGTAACTAGGTGATATTTCCTAGTGCCAATCATAAAATCATGCAGTCATAATGTAAAGCTCAATGAAAGTAGAAATACTCATGAGTTTTATTTCCTGCTGGTTTGTTTATATGACTTCTAACTTGCTGGTTGTCAAGAATCAAAATTCCAAGTATCAACATTTTTTTTGCTATGAACTCTGGGATTCTCCCTCAAGAAAAGTGGTCACCTACAAGAGCCAACAGCATTTCTCCTTTCATAGAATCAAAGAATCCCTTAGGTTGGAAAAGACCCTTAAGGTCTGTGGCATAACATGGAGTAGGGAGAAATAAGCTATTGTTAAATGACCTGGATCAGATGTCAGCAATTGGCAAAAATCTTTTTCCAAAGAAACTACTGTAGAGTTTCTGAATGAATAGGTGATTCTACATAAAAAAAAAATGGGTTACCAAGACCATTAAAACCTAAGAGAGGGTATAAGTTCCTTGTTTCTTTTCTTGTGGAAGTCAGTGAATTAAGATAAATAATCAAACTACAGTTTTCAGGGTGAGTCCTATTGGAATCAAACACATAATGGTGAAGAATTTACATGTACAGCAGACTCTGAACAGGAAAAGTAACCATGAGGAGCACAGAAGAACCTTATCATATTTTCCTCTCTAAATATTTTCATGTATTTTCAGCCAATGTAGCTTTGCTCTTCTTGATACACCTTAATTTTCTGGGTAGTTTTCATTATTTCTCTTCAGGTGAGAAGTGCATTTGATCTCTTCTGTCTGTTGAAAACACAAGAATGTAATTCTGGCCCAAGTAATTCAGTGAAGCCAGGTAGTGGTCTGAGGATGAGAGTGACTTGATCATTGTCACGGTAATTATGATTCTTGTAATCCTGAGGAAGGGAAAAATTAATCATATTGAAAGGCACAATTTTGCCAGTGGAAGCCAATTCATGTGCTAAACAGTTCCCATAGAAGCAGAGACACAGTGCTTCTGGTTTCTTCTTGACTGGTGAGCAACACCTTGAGGGTGCGTGGGTGCTGTGAACTCAGTCCAGTGTTCATGCAGGACAGAACATGTCTGGGACAGGGGACTGGGCTCTCTGTTTCTAAGAACTTCTGCTGAGGCAATGAAGCTTTACGCTAAAAGGTAGAAGAGTTTCTTCTCCTTTTTGTTTTAAACAAAGAAATGTTTCCCTCTTCTTCCTTCCTTCTCTTCCCAATACTTCTCATGTATTTGAAAGCAATTCAAAGATTTTTATATGGAATACAGAGAAAGCATGTCCCTTTCTGAGAATAAAATTTTTAAAAGAACTCCATCTGTGTAAAATTTTACACAATATCATTTCAGTACTCTTAATACTTGTTGCTTTGATCTCCTCCTAAAATGAGATGAGGGAAGTCGCTGTACTGATGCTCCACTTAAGGTAATAGGTAAAAAACATCTATGTTAAATGTAATTAGTTAATACAAATTAAGATGATTTCATGTTCTTTTGTCAAGATCATTCAAAGAGTTATTTGCTTTTGTCATTGAACAGGACTGCATTAGTTCTCATAATCTGGTTAGTGCA